TGAACTGCCTGAAGAGGCTCTCTTGGTTTTGCTCAAGAGTCTTTCCTAATTTCTCCAGCTCGGTGACCCTGCATGTCAGCTGCATCAGTTGGCTGGTGAAGAATTCTTGAAGTCCCTGGATCGCCCGCTGAACGGTCGTCTCCACGATCGCTACTTGCTCTGCCGAGACTCCCCCGGTTCTTTCTCTTTTGTTCCAAAGTTCCTCTATTGTCTTTTTGCAGTGGGTCACGTTCCTCCGCAGGTCTTGTATCGCTCCGTTGCTGCTCGCCCCTCCACCTTTGGGCTGGGACGTGCTCCTCGACTCCTGATCCCCGACCCTTTGGAGTTCCGGCCACTTCTTGCGATTGCCTGGATCAGTGAAGATCCCTTCCATAGAGGTGCTTCGCTTGCTCTTTTTTCGCTTGACCTTTTGCGGGCGCCGCTTGGATGTAGTCATATCTCGAGACGCGCTTCTCCCACAGCTGGCGGACCGGCTGCGCGAGCGGGTGCGCGAGTCTGACACGCTCCGTCCCGACTCTCTCGAAAGCCACCGCACGTGCTGCGCGCCGTCGCGACGTCTCCCCCGACTCCGTCTAGGCTCCCTGCTTTTAGTCTCCTTGTAGAACTTCTCCGGGCAGTGTCTGTCGTAGGTCTTGTGGGCCCCCCCGCACAAGGCACACTTCGGCACACACTCATGGTCCTCACCGACCTCGGTGGCCCTGCACGCCGAGCACGCAAATCCTTCCGGCTTGCTGCATACGTCGGTCCGATGGCCCACTTCACCACAGTTCAGACAAGCCGCCCTAGTCTTCTTATAGATAAAGCAGGGAGTCTCAAGCCAATGGAAGCTCACCGTGAACGGTACCTTCTTCCCCGCAAATACGATTACCGCAGACTGTGACTTCCCTAGCCTCCTTGCTTCTAGAACTTCGTATCCCACAGCTCTGGTTTTCTGTCGAATCTGTTCGTTAGTCAGGTCAGGCCGGACACTGTGTATGACGCCGCGGCACGCATCTTCGCTCGGGGAGACATGATACGCTTCGACGTCTAGCACGCCGACAGGAAAATTCAGTTTCTTGATACCTGCGACGGCTTCCGCTTCGCTCCATTCGTCCGTACAAACCATGATTGTGTTCTGTGCTTCCAGCAGCCTTACGACCGTCTTCTCGTCCAATCCTCTCGGCAGGGAGCTCTGGACCGCTTCCCCGATCAGGCTCCTGTACCGCTTCAGGTCCACCGCGACCCGATGAGGTTTGATAATGACCTTGTGCTTGTAGACTCTGAGACTGGGCAACCTCAGAGTTTTCCTCGACTTGAAATTCTCCGCCGTTGTTCCCCCGGCTTCATCACGAACTTGTTTCTCGAGGCCTTGTGTCTCCCTCTTGCTCTTTTTCTTCTGCATCAGTACTTGCACCCAGCCGTTGCCGGGTCCTCCGTCCTCCTGGTCCCCCAAGGGCATCCTTGATTCCATCATCCCGGAGTGGCCGCTGCGCCGGGCTGATAAATCTATGCGCCACCTCTTCTGGGTTATAGCCGATCACTCGACCGGTACCTGGAGTTTCTTGGGTCCTTGTTTCCATCCTCCAGCCTTCAGCCCCCACCAGGACGGCGACCGCCACGCGATAGGCCTAGCTAGGCGGCCGCTCCGAGAAGCTCGGTGCGGCGCGCCCTGCGGCGCGAAGCCTAACGAGTGTTAACAGGCCCTCCGTGGGCCAGAATCGTGACAATGTCTTTGAAATGAGAAAGATTCGGCTCACCGGCATGAAAGTGGTATCGAGCGAAACCGGAACGTTAGCTCTGTCTTCTCCAACACTTTTCATCGCACAGAAAAGGAATTTTCCAAGAAAAAGGACGATTTTCTGCGGAGCCCATAGAACATGCGTCCGCTCTCAGCACGTGCGTGCACGCGCTCCCCTATGTGTGTGTAAGAGAGTTAGATAAAATAATGCTGGTAGGGGAAAGCAATATTATGTCTTTTAGACTGCAGTTCTAATGCCCCCGTTTCCGGCTTGAGCGGCACCGGCGTCCCCTCGCGCGTTGCATTATGGGAGGTTTCCCCGCTAAAGATAGCCGAAAACTTTTCCTGCTAAATTTAGCGGGGAAGTGTTTCCGCTAAATTTAGCGGGGGAGTGTTTCCGCTAAATTTAGCGGGAAATTTTCTTGTTACAGTTAGCGGGAAAATTTTCCCGCTATAATTTGCGGGGAAATCGACGTCACGTGACCTCTACACCAGTTCAGTTCCCTCGCCAAATTTAGCGGGAAAAGTGACGTCACGACTTCGTGTCACGTGAGTCATGAACAAATTCAGCGGCGGGAGGAGAGGACGAGGAGGAAGAAAGAGGAGGAGAAGGAGAATGGGATGAAGAGGAGGAGAGTAGGAGGAGGAGGGGGATAGGAGAAGGAGGGTCATATTCTCCACTCCGTACAATTCCCTTCTCCTCCTCAAAAGCTGCGTTCTAGTTTCGCATTACAGAGATCTGTAAACGCCTTTCAATTTTCTTTTTTTTTTTCGACCTCTAATGGTAATTTCATTAATTTTTAATGCGATACTAACTTTTTATTCTACTTATTATCCGCAAACAAGTTTCTTTCTTTTCCGATTAGTTACATCAGTAGAGTGCCTTCAAATTGTAACGCAGCCTTCAAATGAGATATTGCGCATTATTGATTAAGATGATAGTTACTCTTATTTTGTTTCATAAATGGGAAACTTTGTCACTTGGACTTTACGCGTCACATAGGCAACACTTGGCTATCCGGTCGTGCGATAAATTTGAGGAACCATCTAAGAACGTAAAGATACGCTACCCTTAAGAGCATTCTGATTTCCGGATCCGAAAGAAACTAGCGAGAATTCTGACGCCAGGCTCAAAAGACGTCGATATTAATAGTGGTGAGTGCGATCGGGCAGAAACTCACATCTGATAACTTCATAAATTTTCCGCTTGCCGCAAGACTGACAGAACTTTTAGAGGAAACGCCGTCTGCTCACGTCACATCCCGCCCGAGTCACACGAGTTATCCCCTAGTTATTCCGGAGTGCACGCGAGCCCACAAGTTGTCAAGTTTGCGCCGTCTCGCCGTCTCGCCGTCTCGTTGCGTCAAGAGAGGTGCTCATCTGAACTAAACAATTATCCAACCATTCACAATAAGAGGTATCTAACTACAGGGTGATCCCCTAAAATAGTATGTATCGCCGAATATTTAGTTTCCACTCAAATGCAGCGGTAGCGTCCATACACCATACTTAAGTTGCAGAACGAACTGTTATCTTATTCAGGGGTTAGAACCGCATTTCGAAAAGTTTCATTTTGAAAATGGTGGCGACGAAGTCCCCGAATACATGAGGCTGAATGGCGCAAACCACCGGGCACGGGCTTCATTTTCAAATTTGAAGCTGCATAAGATCACTTAGAACATAACGTGAGCTTTAAAACTTTCGAGCCTCGTCTGGACCGCTAGCTTTTTCACTTGGGTGGAGACTTAAGCGTTCAGCGATGTGCGGTTCATTCTTACGGTGACAAAAACACTGTATATATTTTATTGGGGACACGCTATACTGAAATCAAGAAATATGTGCAGAATGAAATTGGCGCAGTATTAAATGGCAACGCAGCGCTTGCAAAACGTATACGGAGCACGCGAGCTGTGGGTTTTCTCGTGAAAGTGTTATCCTGTTGGCAGCCGAGCAACGGTTTTCTGGCGTAGCACCTGAGAAACCATCCCAAAATGCTTCGTCAAAGAGCCGTTGTTCGACTTCCTCCGGAATGGCCCTGCCGTGAGGAAACACACAGATCGCATGTTCCGATGAAGTTTGGTGAGCGCTGGAAACGCGCTGTCTTCCGAGTGCATAGCATTTATGTACTGAATTCATGCGTACGCGTGGTAATATCGTTCATTCTGTTGGCCCTGAGAACTGTTACCTATTTCCTATCGGGAAACGGTGAACTCTTGAATGGAAAGGCAAGCTTCGGACAGCAGAATTTCAATCATCGCATTGCAAAGGGCTGTGTTGGCAAACGTGTCGCTGCCGTTCCGGTGCCATAAATAGACTTCCCATTTGAAAGAGATTCAAAATTGCCTAGACTGATGAACGAAGCGTGCAGCAAGGGAGAATACCTCGAACTTGCGAAACGGAGAGGGGTTGTAGCGGGAACATTTGTCTTGATACATTTAATAAGCTATGCGTTCCGGAGTAACGAAAACAGAGCCATATTGGCCATCTTGGAGACTAAAGGGGCCGTGCAAAGATATGGGATAAGAATGTATCTCAGTTTACACAACCTTAGTGGCAGTAGTGAACCTATGTGTTCACGCACGAAACGTCACTGACCATGAAAGCTACTTTGTCGCTCCGCAATTTCAAGGACAAAAACGTACGTTTCCTTTCAGTCTCTCTTTTGCATAGCTTGATGAGAAAATTGGGGGTATCGGATTGTTGGCGTTGTCGAAAATGCGTGATTTCCAAACTTTCGTGATCAAGTTTTCCCATCGCCGTGATGACGATATATTAAAATGCGGCTCGCACAGTGGAGCCGTGCACTGCGTGAGCACGCAATTTGGGATCGTGAAAATCAACGGCTCGACTACGCAAAGCCTCTCCGCGTTGGGGTCATTCGTGGAGTGACATTTATTCTCGTATACCTCGTTCCAGGTTAAGAGAACTAGAGCAAAACTAATCCCGCAAAGCTCTTCACTGTTTTCACTTTAGCACAACGAACGCTGTAAACCAGTCCCTCATCGCCTCCTCTCGCTCCCCTCTGGCGTTCGCTCTACTAAAGTGAAAAGAGTGGACGGCTTTACGGGAGAAGCTTGTCCCGCTTTTCGTAACCTTAAGCAGGGTAAGAATATTTCGTGTAAAATCGGCGGCAGCGCAGTGGCACTTGAGTGTCTAGAAACAACCCGCTCGCTGCGTTGATTCCACCACTTTTGTTTCCTGCTTCCACAGATAGTTCCCCGAAAACTATGTTTTGGGGCCCAGGGGGATCTACAAGATCTGCAACAACTCCTGGATCGCTTACCTCTAGCGGTGGCGATCTCCCCGTCCGGGTGCCACCGCTTGTGGAGGGCTGACGGCGAGATACAAACCGGCATGGAGACTTTCTGGTCCCCCAGCAGGGTTACCTTTATTTGGCGCTCGGAGACGTGCCGAAGTACCCTCGGCAATAGACGCAACCTGCGTGTGAAGAAAAATGTACTAACTGGGGTTTTTGCGCCTTCTGAGTAAACTCTATTGCAACATAGGTATTACTTTATTAATGATAACAAATAAGTTTTTTTATGCAAACTGGGATAATGCTACGATAAACGAAGCACAACAAAAACCATTATGCATCATCGCATGAACAGTGGATCTTTAGAAACTTTTTATTTGTTGAATGCGTAAACGAATGCTGTAGAGGCTGCAAATGTCTGTTCTTTTTCTAGCGAATATTTTAATATTTGAACGTGGTTTTACTTTTAACATACCTTCCGAGCTCGCAGTATGCTCAAAATAAATTAAATGAACAACTTGAATATTAATATCGAATTCGTTTTACAAATTTAAATACCGCAAATATGCAACAGTGCATACATTCACATTTACAGTCTACCATACTGCCACCCTACCAAGCGTAAGCTTTCTCTCAGGGTTAACAGGATAAGGATTACGATAGTTTATGAGCAGGTTGGGGTTTAGTGATGACGATGGCTTGAACGGAGGTGTTGTACCGGGCTAAAGTACGCTTTTTTCATAGACACATTTTATAAAAAGAATTACTGCATGACACCTCTCAATATTGTTCTACATGCGGAAATAAAAATAATTTGTCCGAACAAAAAGTAAACCTATAAACACGTCGGTAGCAAAATAACGCACCGATCGAGAAGAAAAAAAAACTGAAGTAATGTAAAAGACGACGTTTCGAGTGAACGCCGATTTGTCCGTCAATAACGAGCTATTTCCCGTGTCCCTGTATTTTTAATTCGGCTCGGTATTCTGTCCGCGCAACTAAAACATTCCAAGCTCTTGGGCCACTGTTCCATTTTTTTTTTTTCAGTTTTCAATGAGAGGCCTTAGGCAGAGAACCCAGAAACCCTGAGCCCCATCCCTGCCTCCGTTTGTTTTGATTTGTATGATTGATGCATCTACTTCCTGTGGCCTTCCTCTACTGCCTGTTTTGCGCTGAAGTCTGCAGATAAGCAGGTGCGGCGCGCAGGCTACATTTTTTGTACAGAACGTGAACCAATGTCACCGCATCCGAAAGGCAGACCGGCATTGGGCTGACTAAACGTTCAAGTTTGACTTCATGATGTTGTGCATTATGACTACCAGAGCACTACAGACTGAACCTCTGCGTGTTGACATACACCTTCAACTGCAGCCAGTCGGTAATGCCCTGTCCCAAAAAAGCGACATTCTTAGAGTTTTTTCCCCCTGCACTGTCAGATCCTCGAAACACAAGAAGGGGTGTGTCGTTTGATTTTTTTGTATTTCAGTCATATAACTGCGAGAAATGGGAGTATTTTATGGGAAATACGCTATCATGTGCCTCTTCTGCATTGTACAGGGAGCGGCCGTTTTCAATGAGAGGCCTTAGGCAGAAAACCCGGAACCCCTGAGCCCCATTCCTGCTTCCGTTTGTTTTGATTTGTATGATTGATGCATCTACTTCCTGTGGCCTTCCCCTACTGCCTGTTTTGCGCTGAAGTCTGCAGATAAGCAGGTGCGGCGCGCAGGCTACATTTTTTGTACAGAACGTGAACCAATGTCACCGTATTCGAAAGGCAGACCGGCATTGGGCTGTCTAAACGTTCAAGTTTGACTTCATGATGTTGTGCATTATGACTACCAGAGCACTACAGACTGAACCTCTGCCTGTTGACATACACCTTCAACTGCAGCCAGTCGGTAATGCCCTGTCCCAAAAAAGCGACATTCTTAGAGTTTTTTCCCCCTGCACTGTCAGATCCTCGAAACACAAGAAGGGGTGTGTCGTTTGATTTTTTTGTATTTCAGTCATATAACTGCGAGAAATGGGAGTATTTTATGGGAAATACGCTATCATGTGCCTCTTCTGCATTGTACAGGGAGCGGCCGTTTTCAATGAGAGGCCTTAGGCAGAGAACCCGGAACCCCTGAGCCCCATTCCTGCTTCCGTTTGTTTTGATTTGTATGATTGATGCATCTACTTCCTGTGGCCTTCCCCTACTGCCTGTTTTGCGCTGAAGTCTGCAGATAAGCAGGTGCGGCGCGCAGGCTACATTTTTTGTACAGAACGTGAACCAATGTCACCGTATTCGAAAGGCAGACCGGCATTGGGCTGTCTAAACGTTCAAGTTTGACTTCATGATGTTGTGCATTATGAATACCAGAGCACTACAGACTGAACCTCTGCCTGTTGACATACACCTTCAACTGCAGCCAGTCGGTAATGCCCTGTCCCAAAAAAGCGACATTCTTAGAGTTTTTTCCCCCTCCACTGTCAGATCCTCGAAACACAAGAAGGGGTGTGTCGTTTGATTTTTTTGTATTTCAGTCATATAACTGCGAGAAATGGGAGTATTTTATGGGAAATACGCTATCATGTGCCTCTTCTGCATTGTACAGGGAGCGGCCGTTTTCAATGAGAGGCCTTAGGCAGAAAACCCGGAACCCCTGAGCCCCATTCCTGCTTCCGTTTGTTTTGATTTGTATGATTGATGCATCTACTTCCTGTGGCCTTCCCCTACTGCCTGTTTTGCGCTGAAGTCTGCAGATAAGCAGGTGCGGCGCGCAGGCTACATTTTTTGTACAGAACGTGAACCAATGTCACCGTATTCGGAAGGCAGACCGGCATTGGGCTGTCTAAACGTTCAAGTTTGACTTCATGATGTTGTGCATTATGAATACCAGAGCACTACAGACTGAACCTCTGCCTGTTGACATACACCTTCAACTGCAGCCAGTCGGTAATGCCCTGTCCCAAAAAAGTGACATTCTTAGAGTTTTTTCCTCCTCCACTGTCAGATCCTCGAAACACAAGAACGGGTGTGTCGTTGGATTTTTTTTTGTATTTCAGTCATATAACTGCTAGAAATGGGAGTATTTTATGGGAAATACGCTATCATGTGCCTCTTCTGCATGGTACAGGATGCGGCCGTTTTCAATGAGAGGCCTTAGGCAGAGAACCCAGAAACCCTGAGCCCCATCCCTGCCTCCGTTTGTTTTGATTTGTATGATTGATGCATCTACTTCCTGTGGCCTTCCTCTACTGCCTGTTTTGCGCTGAAGTCTGCAGATAAGCAGGCGCGGCGCGCAGGCTACATTTTTTGTACAGAACGTGAACCAATGTCACCGTATTCGAAAGGCAGACCGGCATTGGGCTGTCTAAACGTTCAAGTTTGACTTCACGATGTTGTGCATTATGAATACCAGAGCACTACAGACTGAACCTCTGGGTGTTGACATACACCTTCAACTGCAGCCAGTCGGTAATGCCCTGTCCCAAAAAAGTGACATTCTTAGAGTTTTTTCCTCCTCCACTGTCAGATCCTCGAAACACAAGAAGGGGTGTGTCGTTTGATTTATTTTGTATTTCAGTCATATAACTGCGAGAAATGGGAGCATTTTATGGGAAATACGCTATCATGTGCCTCTTCTGCATTGTACAGGGTACGGCCGTTTTCAATGAGAGGCCTTAGGCAGAGAACCCAGAAACCCTGAGCCCCATCCCTGCCTCCGTTTGTTTTGATTTGTATGATTGATGCATCTACTTCCTGTGGCCTTCCTCTACTGCCTGTTTTGCGCTGAAGTCTGCAGATAAGCAGGCGCGGCGCGCAGGCTACATTTTTTGTACAGAACGTGAACCAATGTCACCGTATTCGAAAGGCCCACCGGCATTGGGCTGTCCAAACGTTCAAGTTTGACTTCACGATGTTGTGCATTATGAATACCATAGCACTACAGACTGAACCTCTGGGTGTTGACATGCACCTTCAACTGCAGCCAGTCGGTAATGCCCTGTCCCAAAAAAGCGACATTCTTAGAGTTTTTTCCTCCTCCACTGTCAGATCCTCGAAACACAAGAAGGGGTGTGTCGTTTGATTTATTTTGTATTTCAGTCATATAACTGTGAGAAATGGGAGTATTTTATGGGGAATACGCTATCATGTGCCTCTTCTGCATTGTACAGGGTGCGGCCGTTTTCAATGAGAGGCCTTAGGCAGAGAACCCGGAAACCCTGAGCGCCATCCCTGCCTCCGTTTGTTTTGATTTGTATGATTAATGCATCTACTTCCTGTGGCCTTCCTCTACTGCCTGTTTTGCGCTGAAGTCTGCAGATAAGCAGGTGCGGCGCGCAGGCTACATTTTTTGTACAGAACGTGAACCAATGTCACCGTATTCGAAAGGCCCACCGGCATTGGGCTGTCCAAACGTTCAAGTTTGACTTCACGATGTTGTGCACTATGAATACCATAGCACTACAGACTGAACCTCTGGGTGTTGACATGCACCTTCAACTGCAGCCAGTCGGTAATGCCCTGTCCCAAAAAAGTGACATTCTTAGAGTTTTTTCCTCCTCCACTGTCAGATCCTCGAAACACAAGAAGGGGTGTGTCGTTTGATTTTTTTTGTATTTCAGTCATATAACTGCGAGAAATGGGAGTATTCTATGGGAAATACGCTATCATGTGCCTCTTCTGCATTGTACAGGGTGCGGCCGTTTTCAATGAGAGGCCTTAGGCAGAGAACTCGGAAACCCTGAGCCCCATCCCTGCCTCCGTTTGTTTTGATTTGTATGATTGATGCATGTACTTCCTGTGGCCTTCCTCTACTGCCTGTTTTGCGCTGAAGTCTACAGATAAGCAGGTGCGGCGCGCAGGCTACATTTTTTGTACAGAACGTGAACCAATGTCACCGTATTCGAAAGGCACACCGGCATTGGGCTGTCCAAACGTTCAAGTTTGACTTCACGATGTTGTGCATTATGAATACCAGAGCACTACAGACTGAACCTCTGGGTGTTGACATGCACCTTCAACTGCAGCCAGTCGGTAATGCCCTGTCCCAAAAAAGCGACATTCTTAGAGTTTGTTCCTCCTCCACTGTCAGATCCTCGAAACACAAGAAGGGGTGTGTCGTTTGATTTTTTTTGTATTTCAGTCATATAACTGCGAGAAATGGGAGTATTCTATGGGAAATACGCTATCATG